AGATGTGCACAGTGCACACTGCACACACATGCACCGTGCAACTTGGAGCAACCCATAACCGTCTTGGACAGTGACCGCCCAGTGCCCGCCGGTGCCACAACATTACAAAAGAGTGTGGCACCGAAGGCTTGCACATTTGTTCAGCAAGCCTTCAGTCTCACGTGTGGGTCAGTGACTCAGTGCCATAGTGCCGTCGAGTCGACACGTCACACGAGGCTGGCAGGACGAGTGTTGGTGATGTGCTGAAGACTCTGTGAAGAGGCCTCCACGTCGCGTGCTCTTGTCACAAGTTGGGTGGCTTCCCGCTTTTCTCAAGCGAGGCTGGTTACAAGGTTCTTCAAGCGCCATGGACATGCGAGAGAGGTTCTTGAGGCGCACTCGAAAAAGACTCTTCTGCTAGCGGAGGAGACGCGTTTCGGCACGAACGTCATCATGATGGAGAGGCTGGTGGCACTGCGGGCCGCGTTGACAGATGTTGTGGCCGACGATCGCTGGCGCGAGACTGTTTGGTCGACCAGCAAGATCCGCAAGGATGCAGCGGAGGTCACTGCATGTATCGGCTCCCCTCCATGGTGGGAGGATTTGAGAGCTCTGTGCAAGATGCTAGAGCCCATCATGGGCATGCTGAAGTTGGTGGACAGCGACACACGCCAGATCAGCAAGATTCTGCGACGTTACGAGGAAATGATTGCATCTTGTTTATCCGCATGTCGTGACATTGATCGGGAGCAGCAGGACGCTATTGTGGAGGTGTTCCACAGGCGGCGCACCATGTTCAAGACCCCCGCCCACACGGCAGCCATGCTGCTAGATCCAGAGTTCCGGGACGCGACGCTTTGTGACGATGCRGAGGTGCAGCAGGCCTTGGTCGAGGCCCTTGTCCAGTTCGGCTACCMGGAGRATTCGCYGCAGCACCGGGAGGTCCAACGAGCGGTCGCCAAGCTCCACACGAGGGAGCCCCCTTTCGATGAGCTCACCATGCGGCGAGCTGCGGATATCTTTGATCACCCTGCCAGTTTTTGGTTCTCAAAGAAGGCGAAGTTCCCTCAYACGGCCGTGTTTGCAGGCAGGATCCTTCGTATATGGGCGACCGCCTCACCGTGCGAGAGAGCGTGGTCTCGTTGGAGCTTCATTCATTCGAAGTCTCGCAACAGGTTGGAGGTTCCCCGGGCTGAGAAGCTTGTGCGGTGCCACTGGAACCTCGGGCTACTCGATCGACCTTCGTTGTGCGACGATGGTGTTGGAGAGAGGCCCGGCGTCTTCAGGAAATGGGTGCATTATTGGCAGGCCGTGGAGGACGAGGCAGCCGTGGACCAGCARCTCGTCAGAGGCACCGGTGTTCTGGCGAAGGTGACCAATGAGGAGTTAAGCCTCGCCAGAGAGAGGATGCGCGCCATTTCCCGCATGGGAGCCGAGCGTCGGGTGGCGGAGTCGGACAGGAGGCGACGCAGGGCTGGTGGTCGGGGACGTGGCGGCCGTGGACGAGCAGGTGTCGGAGGACGTACACGTGGCAATGCGGGTTCCGCTCCTCGGACTCGGCGACAGCGGACGGATGGTGGCATTCGCAGGGCCCGCATGCGTTGGGACGAGGGTGACTTCTTGTTCGACAACACATCCAGCGACGACGACAATTTCTTTGCGTCGGGAACACATGCATCCACGGGTGATGATAGAGGTGACGCTGACGATAGAGGCGATGACAGAGGCGACGGTGATGACAGAGGTGATGGCGCAGGGCCCG